ACACACACACACACACACACACACACACACACACACACCTTGGGTAGGAATCAGCCCAACGCCAACACAAGGATATTAGCTTCACCTGTCACAGTACTCTCACCAATTTGGCTCACACCAAAAGGACCAGGGCACAAAACCTTCCCCCTCTTTGACTTAGGATGCAAACAGAGTTGAAATTATTCACATGGGGCTACATGACTGACCCTGAGGGTAAGTGATGGTGACTGGATTAGAGGATGCTATGGAGGGGCAGTACATATAAGTACACAATTCTTCCCAATTGTACACTCTATAAAGAGAGAGAAGGAGAAGTTGTTCTCCTAGAGGATCTGTTTCCAACTCCAATCTGGGGGGGTCTACAACTTTCCCTGGGCAATGTCTCTGTAGTAGCAGTGTTTCAGAGATGCTGTTCCCAGGACAAAGAGGACCACATCTTAGAAACTGGGAAGGAAGAGATTAAAAGGGGGTGATGGAATTTATAATCTAAAAAAAATGCAGTAGGTCCGCCAGATAGAGGGGAAGGCATCAACACCTCCCTGAGGTTAGGGGCTTCTACAAAATCATTGATCTCAAGGAGTGGTGCACAAGCTAAAGTTAGTTGATTATTTTTAATTGATTTTCTCCTTGGTCTGTGTTAGGGTGGACCAGCTTTCTTGCAGGCTGGACATCATTCTGCCCCCGAGCCACACACCATCCCTTGAATTTACAATGATAGTGGAAATAAGAAGCTATTCTACTTCCAAAGAATGTTTTTTGAGTAAATGATGATTTTAGTAACTGTAAAATGTGACAAAACGACAAAATTCTGCTGCTGTCAAACACTTCTGGTTCTCTCTGCAGAAACATGGCATTTGCTTCAACATCCCCATGAAGATGGACCAAGATTCCAGGCTCAGGGTAACAAGAAGGGCCTTTTTCCTGCAGGGTGAGGCCGGGATCTCAGCCAACACCTGTCTGCTCTGTCTCCGCCTGGCCGCCATCCTCAGGGGCCACAAACCCAGGCTCAGGGACCTCCCCATCACCCACCTGGCTCTGACACACATCGTCCTACTCCTCATTGTGGCCCTTTTGGTATCTACAGACATCTGGGTAGTGCAAGACATTCTGAGTGACGTCAAATGCAAAATGCTGGTATTCCTGCACAAGGTCATGAGGGGACTGTCCCTCGGCACCACCTGTGTCCTGAGTGTGCTCCAGGCCCTCACCATCAGCGCCAGTGGCTCCTTGCTGGCCGACTTCAAAGTCAAATCTGCAAACCCCATCCTGGGGGCATGTCTGTTCCTGTGGGTCCTCACCATGGCCATTACCAGCGACCAGCTGCTCTGCATGGTGGCCACCCCCAATGTGACACAGCCTGGTCTTCTCTTTGTCAACAGCCACTGCTCTTTCCTGCTGAGGTACAGGGGTGTTTTTCTCCTCCTGGTAATGCTCAGAGACATCTTCTTCGTGGGCCTCATGGCCTGTCCAGTGGGTATATGGCCACCCTTCTGCACAGACATCAGCAGCGCTTCCTGTCCCTTCACGACTTTAGGCTGGCCCCCCAGACCTCCCCTGATCACAGAGCCACTCCCAGTGACCTGCAACTGCTCGACTGCTTTGCCACCCTGTACTGTGCAGACTCTGCACTCTCTCTGCTCATCAGCGGGATGAGGAGAAATGTCCCCATGCTCTGGAGCATCCACAATACAGTGACCAGCGGTTATGGCATGCTCAGTCCCCTGGTACTGCTCAGGGTGGACACGCAAATCCTGAACAATAAAGGAGCCCAGTGAAAGAACAAAGCTCTGATGCTGACAAGACGCAGCTCCTCCACTCTCGCTTACAAATCCCTCTATCCACACAAACTTCTTTCTGAAATGATTTCAGCAAGTACACCAGATTTACTGTCTGGTAAGGTTATCTATATGACTACAAATGACCTTGTGTATGGTTTTACTTGATATCTGCATCAGTGTCTTTAGGTACATCCACGGAATTTTACAGTCTCATCTTATTTTCTTTCTTCTTGCTTTATGAAAACTTTTTTTAAAGAAGTTCTATTAGAGCCACATTTTTCCTTATTCTGTCTGAATATATGCTATTTAAAAAAAAAAGACTACCATATGGCTATCAATCAGGCAATGCCATAACCCTAAATGTCCATCAAGAAAAGAATAGATATTGTGTAGCATGGTCCAGGCCATGGGTTCAATCCACAGCAACTACAAGAAAAAAAAAATGGATAAACAAATGCAGTGGGGCTAGAGATGTGTGTATGAACAGGCACACTATATATCCATATACACAAACATGTAAGCATATATATATATATATATATATATATATATATATATTATAGATATAGAATATCACTCTGCCATAAAGAGAAATGATACATGCAACAATATGAATAAATTACAAAAGTATTCAGCTAAAAAAATCAGAAAAAAACATCACAGATTGCTGAGTAAAATTCCATTGTGTTAATAGAAAATAATGCTAAGGGAAGTTAGCCAATTGCAAAGAAAAAAAATCAAATGATGAACTTTTTCTCTCATATAAGGAGGCTGACTCATAGTGTTGTAGGGAGGGGGAGCATGGGAGGAATAGATGGACTCTAGATAGGTCAGAGGGGAGGGAGAGGATGGGACAGGGGATTAGAAAAAATGGGGTAATGTGATGGACATCATTATCCAAAGTCTACATATGAAGACATAAATTGTGTTAACACACTTTTTCTGTATTTAAAAACATTGTGCTATATATGTGTAATGAGAATTATAATGCATTCCATTGTCATGTATTTAAAAAATCAATATTTTTTTAAATCACAGATATATGTATACTCCACTCTTAGGAAGTATGCAGAATATGGAAAACCCAGAGTCACAGAGCAGAAGTTGGTGACCAAGTCCTGGGAGGGCAGGAGATTGACCGTCTGCCTGAGGGACACCTGGTTTCCTTTGGTGGTTATTAAAAGCTAGGGAACCAGGAAAGGTTGTAATAACACTGCACCATTTCAAATATCACTAGATCTGATTTTCAAATGGACACTATTAGGAGAAATGAATCTCATTTAAAAATAAACCCCCCAAAAAAACCTGAAAATGCTGGGATTCTGCTCAATGACGGCAGGTATACACTCTGGTGACAGGAAGGCACTGTGGCGCTGCAGACCCCAACCGTACTCTGGACCACCAACTCAGAGTTGTTAGGAATACCGGCTTCCAGGAACTGAGAAGCTACTCTGCCGAGTCACATGTGGCTCTAGCTTCTTCCTAAACCTTGATCCTAATTTTCCCAGTGGTCTTGGGTCCTATAGGAGGAATCCTGGCTTTATGGAGAACAAACAAGGGCTGGAAACCAAACTGATTGTCCCAGGGTCACACCCACCATGCAGACCAGAGCTCTGATGGACTGACAGTCTTTGCAAATAAACTCCAGTCCAGGGTCATTTCTGGACAGAGAAGGGTGAAAAGGGAGGAATCATCAAGAGGCTCCAGGAACCTTCAAGACAGAATTAGTCTTCACAGTCTTTATTGTGGTCATGGTTCCATGGGTGTATTTATGTGGCAGACCTAACAAACTGATCATTAAATATGTTGCTTTATTCTTATCAGTTTCATCTTAATAAATTATTTTTAAATGAATAAAAGATATTAAAAGACAATTCAACAATAGGTAGATGACAACTATGCCTAAGGAAATATGGCAGACACCACACATCATTATGGAATTTTAAGAAATCAATCAATTTGAAAACAAATAAAATTGACAAAATAAAAATTTGATTCTTTGAAAAAATAAATGAAATTGAGAAACCATTACCCACAAAGAGAATGGGGGGAGAAAATTACTAAAATTCATGATGCAATAGGAAATATTATGGTGGACACTAGTGAAATACAGAAAATAATGTGAAACTGTTTTGAAAGTTTATACTCCAATAATATGCAAAATTGTGAAGACATTGACCAATTACTAGAGACATGTGACCTCCCCAAACTGAACCCGGAGGACATACATGGTTTAAACCCATCAGGTTAAAGTAATGAAATGCAAGATGCCATCAAAAG